TTCTTTGTTTTTTATCAGAGTTTTTTCAAGAATTTATATATATATGTCTATAGTTTTAACTTAAATAATTTTTTTGATGATTTATAAGTTTAATTTTTTTAACTTGAGAAATATTTATATTTGAGAGTTTTTATTTTTTTTATAAATTTTTAATCTATTTAAAGTATTTGTTAATATATTCTGATACTCAGATTGATATCAAATTAAAAATTAAAATTATAAAAGAAACTCTACTTAGTGTACTTTTTAAATATTAAAATTCTTAATAATTATAAAGTATTTTAGTACTTAATAATCTCTTAGAAATTTAAACTTCTCTTTTCTCTAAAGCTCTTTTAATTTAGTATATTATTCTGATAATACTTTTATAATTATCAGTATTTTGTTATTATGAATTTTATAGTTTCTTTCTACATTATTTATAGAAATGAAGTAAAAGATAACAGAATATCAATATTCATTCTCACATCACTGTTAGGCTCAGCGCCCGACTGAGCCCGACCGAGGCCCGGTGCCCGGTAAGACTCGACGTCGGATTAAGCTCAGCGCCCGATTTGGCCTAATCCTCATCACGTGACCACATGACTATGCGGGTTGTTATAACCTGAGCAGGCCCCAGCACCCCTTTCATCCCATCAAGCTTAGTATTTCATTATATAGCAGTTAGCAATGCAGAGAGTTTCTTTCATATGCAGCTCACATTCACTTCTTAACATAATACTAAGCTTCATTCTATTCATTCTACTCAGGATTGAATAGAATCTGCTTAGTAAGAATCTGATAGCACAACAGACAATAATAACTCATTTTATATCTCTTTTAAGATCAGAATGATCATCTCAGACTTTCAGCCCTTTGGAAAGATCAAGAAGGACTGATGATATATTCTAACTAGGCCAACTGACTAATTATGAGTCTCATTTGAAGAATTTTGACAGGTAATTCACTCAAACAAGAATCATATTTACAATAAATGAGCAGTAATTTTTAACAGTATTTTTGATGATGAGAAGACACTGAGGAACACAGTCACACATCTGTGGATGAAATGAAATGACGCTGTAGCCCAGGCAGCTATCAAGCAGAGTCAAATTAATAAGCTCATTGCAGAATGTAATAAGCTTAGTTATATCTTAGTTCAAATAACAGTTAATAATCAAACAATAAGTCAAGATATTACTTTCTCAGAGAACATAAAAAGATCTGTCAAAATTAATGATTCAAAACATCTTACTGATGACAAGAAGTCAAAGTTTGAGTATTGACTCTCTCACATAAAGAACAAGTTCCAGGAGAATATTGATCACTACTTTATATAAATGCATGAAAATTATATATATTGAGAACTGAATGAATAAGAACACAGCATATTATATTACACTTCATATGAAAGAGAATCATTTCAAGCAATATCAGACTATAGAAGAG